TATGTATGGATGATGGAATCAACCTCCAGCCCCAGCCTGTCCTGATTAAATAAAGTTCAAACACCAAGGGCTGAAGATGCAGACAAGAGCCCTAACAAAGTAAAAAGAATCCACCCTAAAAAGAAAAGGTACAATGGAAGGAAGATCAAAGCCCGGTCCAAGGCTGAAAGTCATGTCTGCAATTGACGGGTGATCAATCACCAAACCTGAAGGCAGCGTGACACAGCAAGACCTATAGACTCTGGATTCAAACTAAAGCCTACAAAAAGGATGGGTGTGATGGAAAACTTTGGAGGAGGGTAACATTCTGCTGCCAACATGAAAGGGCATCGGTGCATGCCCAACAGAGACCCAGTTCATCCTTGTGCCCGGCTTTCCTGGCCAGTTAGCCGCCACAAGCTACGAACCCAAGCTGCAAACTCAAGCCACAGACTCAAGCAGGACTGGTAACTATGCAGCAGCTGCAGAACATCTGATGGATGTGTGTGTGTGTGTATAGGTATTAGGTATAATGTGTGTGTATAAGGATTAAGATATTAGTTATTGGTCATAAATCAAATTGTTATCATAATAAATGTGGCATCTTTATCTTGTCCCCTTTAATAAGATCCTGCTAGTTTTTATTGGTATAACAGCGTCGACAGCGAGCACTTCCGGGATCGATCCCAGAAGATCGATTGCTTAGCGCCGGACCCGGAGGTAAGTGTAGACCTACCTTAAGGGAAGGAAGGCATTAGAGCAGGAAAATAAGGACAATGGACTTCAAAAAGGCAGACTTCAACAAACTCTGAAAACTGGTATGTGAGTGTGCCATTTCACTCCATATTCTTTATGAAAATATGCTTATGACATGAATATGAGATAACTGAGATGTACTTTGTGCAAGATGGGTCTTGTAAGATGTAATTGGAAAAAGGTTATAGATTCATAGATTCTAGGACTGGAAGGGAACTAGAGAGGTCATCGAGTCCAGTCCCCTGCCCTCATGGAAGGACCAAATACTGTCTAGACCATTGGTCCCCAACCTTTTTTGTCTGGTGGGCACCAAAAAAAAAAAAGCTGAGTGCTGCCCGGCAGAGCAAAAAAAACGGGCACCACGTTGGGGACCCCTGGTCTAGACCCTCCCAGATAGACATTTATCTAACCTACTCTTAAATATCTCCAGAGATGGAGATTCCACAACGTCCCTAGGCAATTTATTCCAGTGTTTAACCACCCTGACAGTTAGGAACTTTTTCCTAATGTCCAACCTAAACCTCCCTTGCTGCAGTTTAAGCCCATTGCTTCTTGTTTTATCCTTAGATGCTAAGATAAACAAGTTTTCTCCCTCCTCCTTATGACACCCTTTTAGATACTTGAAAACTGCTATCATGTCCCCTCTCAGTCTTCTCTTTTCCAAATTAAACAAATCCAATTCTTTCAGCCTTCCTTCATAGGTCATGTACTCTAGACCTTTAATCATTCTTGTTGCTCTTCGCTGGACCCTCTCCAATTTCTCCACATCTTTCTTGAAATGCGGTGCCCAGAACTGGACACAATACTCCAGCTGAGGCCTAATCAGCAGAGTAGAGCGGAATAATTACTTCTCGTGTCTTGTTTACAACACTCCTGCTAATACATCCCAGAATCATGTTTGCTTTTTTTTTCTCAACAGCATCACACTGCTCTCATTTAGCTTGTGATCCACTATGACCCCCAAATCCCTTTCCGCAGTACTCCTCCCTAGACAGTCATTTCCCATTTTGTATGTGTGCAACTGATTGTTCCTTCCTAAGTGGAGTACTTTACATTTGTCTTTAATAAATTTCATCCGATTTACTTCAGACCATTTTGTCCAGATCATTTTGAATTTTAATCCTATCTTCCAAACCCCTCCCTGCTTGGTATCATCCATGAACTTTATAAGTGTACTCTCTATGCCATTATCTAAATCATTGATTAAGATATTGAACAGAACCGGACCCAGAACTGATCCCGGTGGGACCCCACTCGATATGCCCTTCCAGCTTGACTGCAAACCTCAGGACTACTCTCTGGGGACAGTTTTCCAACCAGCTATGCACCCACTTAATGGTAGTTCCATCTCGGTTGTCTTTCTTTTGTTTGTTTATGAGAAGGTCATGCAAGACAGTATCAAAAGCCTTACTAAAGTCAAGCTCTACCACATCTACCGCTTCCCCTCTATCCACAAGTTTGTTACCCTGTACAAAAAAAAAAAAAAAAGCTATTAGGGTGGTTTGACACAATTTGTTCCTGAGAAATCCATGCTGACTGTTACTTATCACCTTATTATCTTCTAGGAGTTTGCTAACTGATTGCTTAATTATTTGTTCCATTATCTTTCTGGGGAATTAAAATAAGCTGATTGGTCTGTAATTCCCCGGATTGCCCTTACTCCCCTTTTTATAGAAGAGCACTATATTTGCTCTTTTCCAGTCCTCTGGAATCTCTCCCATCTTCCATGACTTTTTGAAGATAATCGCTAATAGCTCAGATATCTAGGGTGCATTTCATCAGGCCCTGGAGACTTGAAGACATCTAACCTAAGTAATTTTAACTTGTTCTTTCCCTATTTTAGCCTCTGACCCTACCTCATTTTCATTGGCATTCATTAAGTTAGATATCCAATTGCTACTAAACTTTTTGGTGAAAACTGAAACAAAAGTCATTTAGCATCTGCCATTTCCACATTTTCTGTTATTGTTCCCCCCGCCCCCTTACCATTGAGTACCATGAGCAGGTGGGGACAAAATCAGAAATATTAACTCACAAAATAAGTTACACCTAGCAAGGGACATAGGCAATAAGTAGGGTACTACTTAAATCATGGGGGGGAAGGGAATCATACGATTTTCAAGGGTTGGTCATGGCATAAATAGTGAACTTTGCAGATGTGTTATACACCTATACAATTTGCTATTTATGTGGTGAGTAACCCATAAAAAAGTGTGATTTCTCCACAGCATTTCTCACATCAGCGGCCCAGACCCAAATGGTGGTTGCAAGCCCACTAGTGGGTCGCAGTATTGTCACCCTTACTCCTGAGTTGATGCTGGCAGTGGCACTGCCTAGAGCTGGGTGGCGAGAGAGCGGTGGATGCTGGCCAGTGCCCGGTTCTGAAGGCAGAGAAGTAGGGGTGACTTAGAATTGCCGCCCTTATTTCTATTCTGTGGTGGCGTTGCCTTTAGAGCGAGGCACCCAGCCAACAGCTGCCATTCTCCACTCTGCCTTCAGAGCCGGGCAGCCGGAGACCAGATTTCATGGTCTGTGATGCAAATTTCCACCCTCATTTTTCTGCCCCAATTTTCTACTCCCCAGCCCCACTTTGTGCCCTTGGTGGCTGCCCCACTCACCCCACCCATGTTATGGCCCTGTAGCTGCACCAAATTGTCTGGTTACCAAAAAAATTCACAGGCATAATGTAATAGTTGAGTGTTTATATTATGCCAGCAGATTTTTCTTAAACAAATAGGTCTGCTGTGGCTTTTCCAAATTACGGCAATTAATAAAGGTCCATTATTATTTTTCTGCAATTTTCCAAGTCTTCTTTGCATCTCAGCTGCAATTATTTGAAGATCATCCCGCGATTCAGGTAGGGTCTTAATTATTATTATTAACCAAGAGGAGGAAGAAACAGAAACCACAATAGGGAAAGAACAGGTTAAAAATATGTAGATACATTATATATATTAATGTCAGCCACGAAATTAATTTTAGGGTGCTCAAGGAATTAGCTGAGGCAATCTCGGAACCATTAGCAATTATCTTTGAGAACGCCTGGAGAACGGTGAAGACTGGAGAAGAGCAAACATAGTACCCATCTTTTAAAAGGGGAACAAAGAGGACTGGGAAATAAAATCAAGCCTACCTTAGATACCTGGAATGAACAAATTATTATACAATCAATTTGTAAGCACCTAGAGGATAGTAAGGTGATAAGTTATAGCCAGCATGGATTTGCAAAAACAAATAATGCCAAGTCATAGTGAACTAGGGAAATGTGGTGTACATGAAAGTGGTATAAAATGGGTGAAAATGTTGTTGGAAGGCGGTACTCAGACAGTAATCATTAGTGGCTCACTGTCCAACTGGGAGGATGTATACAATGGGGTGGCCAGGGGCCAGTCCTGGATCTGATATAGTCAATATTTTCACTAATTACTTGGATAATGGACTGGAGAGCATGCTGTCTAAATATGCAGATAACAGCAGCTGTGAGGGGCTGCAAGCACGTTGGAGGACAGGATTAGCATTCAAGGTAACATTTAAAAATTAGAGAAGTGGGCTGAATGAACATGATGAAATTCAATAAAGAGAAGTGCACACTACTAGGTTTAGGGAAGGAAAACCAAATGCACAACTACAAAGTGGGGAATAGCTGGTTAGGGGTAGAACTACTGAAAATGATCGGGGGCTATAGTGGATCACAAATTGAATCTGAGTCAATTGTGCAAAAACTTAATTAAGCACTGGAATAGATTAGCAAGAGAGGTGGTGGAATCCCCATCATTGGAGGTTTTTAAGAACAGGTTGGACAAACACTTCAGTGCTGGGACTAGATGTCCTCTCAGAGTTCATTCCAGCCCTACAGTACTATGATTCTATGCTGGGGAAATGTTTGGCCACTTTATTACAGCACTGACCGGCCCCTCCCACTAAACCACTGAGACATTTTGAAACCCTCCCAATAACTAAATCTGGGAACCGAATGGGAGAGAAGCGCAGAACAAAAGAAGTGACCCTGGGGGATTCCCCCTGACACTGTCCCAGGGCAGCACACTCCTACAGCAGCGGGGACAGGGAGAGTCAGGAACTGGCTTTTCTTCTTCCTGCACCTCACCTTGCTCACAAGAAAGTGAATCTGCCCAGGGATGCTGCAATAAGTGTGTGGGGGCCGGTCAGAGATCTGGGAATCTCTCTCCCCAGTTATTTCTCCCACTGCTCTCTCTCTCTCTCTCATTTTTCTCCTTGTGTCTCCCTTCCCCCGTCTCTCCCACTCTGCTGACAGACAATCCTGGGGGTTCGCTCTCCTATAGCTGGATCGGCTCCTGCAATTGCTAAGGGGAGGAGAGACGTGGGGTGAGGAGGGGCTGTTTGTGCAGTGTCACTTTCATGCCCATCCCCAGTTCCCTGAGGTCTCTATCAACCACCTGGAGTCTCTGGCTCAGATGTTGGGGTGGGCAGAGCATTGGGTTGACCTATGGGGCTAATTACAGCTGGAAAAATCCTCACCTTGGCTGGACGCAGAGGAAGCTTTACTCATGGTCACTCCCCAGCCCCGATCCCGCTGGGGGAGCAGCAGCTGCTCAGCCTGGGCTCTCAGATCACAATGGGGGCAGCAGTGTCTGAACCAGGAAGCTCAACCTCAATATCCTGAGGCAGAGAAAGCGAGAAACTGAGTCACTTTCCCCCCTTTAGCAACAACTGAAACTCCCTCCCAACAGGGACACACCCTGATCTTATCTGCCCCCCCATGTTAATTTTGGAGTCACTCCCTGTTCTGCCTTGCAGTGACTCTGGATTAACATGCGTCTCAGCATGTAGCCCTAAGGATTAATCTGCTTGCTTGCATAGATATATCTTTTCTTATAAGTTTAAGTATTTGATGTACTGTAATAGGTTTATAGATTTATATTAAAAATAAATTTGGCTGTAATGCAAGAGACCTCAGGCCAAACCAAAACCTGTATGTTAAATAGGGTTACCATACGTCCGGTTTTTCCCGGACATGTCCGG